TTTTCTCGTGTTTCTCTTGATTTTTGTGAACCTTGGTTAATTTCCGTGTTTCTCTTAATTTCTCTTACTTTTTGTCGTTTAGTTGTTTTTGTTGCTTGTGTTTTGATCTTGTTTCCCATTGATACGTTCACCGGGTATAATTGTTGTTTTTCTTTTATGCGAGGGAGACGAAGCCGTGCACCCCGAGAGGAGACTCCACCAATCGACCTTTTTGTTGAACTCAACATAGACGAGCCTCAACCGGAATCCGAAACAATGGCGGGACAAGAGAATCAAATTCCACAACCTCCCCCGAACATGAGGTACTTCGCACGACCTATCATTGGAGATAACACTTCGTGCCTCGTGCTCGGAGAGGCGGCCCGAAACTATGATCTCAAGACCATCCACCTAAACCAACTTCCACCATTCTACGGTCTAGCTCAAGAGGATGCTCTCAACTTCATTCCAGACTTCTATGCAACCGTCAACACATTCCCACTTCAAGGCCTAACCGAAAATCAACTCCGAATGAGGTGCTTCCCGTACACATTGAAAGACCGAGCCAAGACTTGGTTCATGACATTGCTTTCGAGCTCGCTCAACACGTGGGAATCCGTCTACGAAAAGTTCATGAGCAAGTACTACTCTCATCAAAAGACCACCGACCTCCGGACTCAAATGGCTAGCTTTAGCCAAAATATCGGTGAGACTTTCCACGAGGCTTGGGAACGATTCAAGGGCTATCAACTTCAATGCCCACATCACCACTTTTGCCTCGGTGTGCTCAACCAATTTTTCTACGATGGTCTCCACCAAACCCTTCAATATATGGTCGATCACGCGGCCGGTGGGGACATAGGGAGTCATACGGAGAAGGAAATTTATAATCTATATGAGATGTTGAGTGAGAACTCCCAAAGGAATAGCGTTCGTAAGAGGGCCCCCGTTAATGAGGCTACACAAACCATCGGGTCCTCGAACGATGCCGTTCTAGCCAAGCTTGCCTCGTTGGAAGAGGAATTAAAGCAACTTCGGCTAAGAGATGCAAAGTCGACCCAAGTGGTGATGGCCGAGGTGTGCGGTTGTTGTGGAGAGGCCGGCCACGAAGGACATGCGTGCCTGAATTATATGATGGCAGCCTACGATCCAAATCTT